TAAAGTATTATTAGACTTTGAATTGTCGTTAAGACATTGAAAGTTTCCCTTTGAATATTCCTTAAATTTTATAAATACCTTTGAGTATTTCAAAAGCCCCATCAAAATGGTAACAATACTTTATTTTTTTTAGTTATTTGATTTTTGAATTTAGTTCTTATTTTATATTAGTATATTTAAATACAAAACTTAAATATATTTTAATTATTTATCTAATTTTCTCTTTTAATTCTTGTTTATATTTATTAGCTAATTTTACAATTAGTAAAAAATATACAATAGTTTTATTATATTTTTTATTATAATTTTTTTTTAAAAAAAAATATTTTTTCATTATTAAAATTATAAATAATATTGAATATTATTATAATAGTAAGAATAATTTTTTGATTCACAAAATATTATAAATAATGATTATTTAAAAATAATATAAAAATAAAAATAATAACAAAATAGCTTAATAGATATTATTTATATTTAATTATTTTATTTTTATCTAATTATTTTATTTTTTTATTTAATTATTTTATTATTTATCTGTTTTATTTAGTATTTATTATTTTTATTTAAGTATTTTATTTTTGATTAGTTATTTGATTTTTGAATTTTGATTTCTGTTATTTTTGAATTTTTATTCTATTCTTAAAAATTTGCTTATTTCCATTTATATAGTATATTTAGATTTTTACTTAAATAAGCGATTTTAAACTTTATAATAAAATTGAATTGCTTTTTTTGGGTGAACCTCTAGAAGAGTTACAAATTTCCAGTGGTTTTATTGATGCTCATATTGTTCCTCCTAGATTTAATGAATTATTAGTAAACTACTAGGAATTTGGAATTCTTCTGGAGGTTCACCACAAAAAACCACTAGTGTACAACCCTTTTTTTTTTTGGAAGGCGCCTGATTCTCCGACACCCATTATGCTGACAGCAAATTTACCCGCCCCACTTGCCCGACATCCTGTTTTTCCCAAATACAGTCACCGGCGAAAGTGAGATTGTTATATAAATCTTATTACAATACTAACATTTTGTATAGAAACAAAATATATAAATGATAGTGCTAGATTTCTAACAATTAATCTAATAGGAGTACATCAAGGCAAGTCATGTTCCCAATTGCAGGTTTTTAAAATTTTCATTTTAATCAGAATAATATTTATCGAATTATTGCGATTTTTAGGTTTTTTTTATAGTTAAAAACGTTCAAGTCACAAATTATATTCGAACTTGCATTGATGCCCTCAGAGGCACTTTCAAAACAATTAAATGAAATGTAATAAAAAAACTGGCTGCCATTACTTTCGCCGGGGACTGTAGAGATTCACATTACGTTTCCCCGATATTTACTTGAAAAGACGTTTCTCTGAAAAGAAAAATAACCGAGACCATTTTCCCGACAAAGAAATTCCCCGAAAAAACATTCTAACGACATGGGATATTATGACATAATGTATTAACTGGTTGATTTTGCATGTTAATTTTAATTTTAAGATTAAGGTTAGGATTATGGTTAGAATTAGAATTAGGAATACATGAATATATATAATATTGCCTCCTCAACATTTTTTGCTTAGTGCACCAAGCTAAATTTATCAGGAAAATGTCATGGATGGTCGGTGTTGGGAAAGGGTTTCGGATAATTATACCGCACCCCCTTTTTTACTTGTATAAATTTATATTTAGCCAAATCAAATTATCATATTCATGCTATGAAAACAATTTTATTTGCCTTAATTTTAAAATTTCTGATGCATCTTTCATAACAGGGGTTAACGGTACGCACATAGACTTTTCGAAAAAATACGTTAATGAAAATATTGTTATTACGTACATGTTTTATGAATTACCATCTAAAATATTATTATTACATCACCATTTAAAATAAATTTACATGAATAAAAAGGCAGGTAAAAGTAAATAAAATAAAAGATAAATAAATATTATTTCGAACTTTTAAAGCATCCGAAATGGAATTAGGGGTTTTAGCGGGTGTTACGTTAGTGTTAGTAGTTGGACTCGTGGTTGTATTAGTAGGTGCATTAGGACACGTCGTGCTTATTTTTTTAAGCAACTTATCAACCTGAGCCGTTACGACACTGAATCCATCAGTTATTTTATTATCAGCAATATATTGATTATAAATATTTGCTATGTGTAAAAGATCTGAACTACACATAATATCATCCGGAAGATCAGTGTTGGAGTCAGTCTTATTACTAGAATTTTCATAACTGTAATAGATTTTTAGTGTAGGCGGAAAAACATTCCTGGTTGGCGTTTGAGTCGAGTTACCAAATTTATCACTGATATAATTAGATTCGGCGATTGTAACGTTAATCCATTCATGTCCTAACGTTAATAAAAAAAGTAATGTTTATTCACAATATCAATAACATAAATTAATAATCAAAGTATTCTAATATAGAATATACTTTACCAGAATTATTTGAGCTCTTTAAACAAAGATTTTGATAATCCGGAACCGCATAATAATATAAATCAAAATAACCAAGAGCAATATCCATCATATCGTTATTAGATCCCGCGATTTCTTTGGCACAATTTTTTTGAAGCTTTTGATATCCAACAGTCGAGACACTCGATGGACAAGGATTATCCAATTTACAAAAGTCTGCAACCAAATTTTCGACATCTGCAGCAGTCATTTCACCACCACCAGGTTTATCCTCAAAAAAATCTGTAAATCGACCAAGATGATCACAAGTCAACGAGGATGTGTCATCTTTAGGGTTCGAGCGGACATCGAGTTGATAAACAGTGGTTTGGCAAGGAGTACATTGAGCTACTTTAAAAGTCGTTGGACAATCCGCTAATGCAACATGATTTAAATTCAATAAGAATAGAGTGAAGATGAACAAACAGTGTTTGAAATTCATTTTTCTATTAATATTATAATTGAAAAATCAATTAAAAAAAATCCTAAAAAAGAGCTTTAACTCATTGCTTTATAGCATTTCGAGCATTTCACCTTTAAGTATTCTTTATAGTTTATCGTTATCTTTACACGAAAAAGAGATCATCTGCCATTGGAAGCTCTAATTACGATTTCATTTCTTATTTGCCTGCGCCCATTTTTCACGAAGAGCACAACATATTAGCCGTTTTGCGTAATGTACATATTAAAAATCTCTCTGTGCATATTAAAAATTCCCCGTTTCCTAATGAAATCCGTAATGAAAAAACCGTATCATTTTTGCTGTTACAACAAAATTTTATTAAAGGAATTATTGTTTGTCAAACAAGAAGCGAATAAGTACAATATACATGTATCTGCTCTCCTGTCCATTATCTTTCGATGAGCTGAATGTTATACTGCATGTATAGTCGACTCTCTATAACGAACCTTTTTATAACAAACTCCGGATATAAAAACCTTAAATTTTTATTAGTTCATTATAAAAATAGTAGTGGGCTCTATAGAAAACATAGCGATTTTATATAACGAACTTTTTTTTTACTAACAGAACGTTATAGAGAGTTGACTTAATATACGTAGCATAAATCGATTTTAAGGTATTTGAACAATATTCCACGAAAAAATTTTGTCGGAACAGATGAAAAACAGGCATTCTTCATTATGACACCGCATTAAAGTTAGTTTCTTTTTTGAATGTTAAATTCTAAAGAAAACGAACGCAGGGATTTTAAATTTGCTAGAATGTGTTACCGTTACTTACATGTATTCAAAAGTCCTACTTGCATTAATCATGTTCCATCGCTGATGTCCGTAGAAATTTTGTAGTCATAGGAAGCAATTTCTGCAAATCAAAGAAGAAACCCAGTTGTTGTAGTTGTGGACAGCAATCGAAAATTTCAATCATATTTTTTTGTGATTGAATATATAGTTTTTGACTACGGGTTCTGTCAGAAAAACAGCATATCTTTGTATTTAAACCTCGATAGAAGGCTTTTGGTGTAATACATGTACTTTGCTGATCAAATGTTTTCAAATTGTCCAAACAAGTTTATTATTTTTTGGAAGTTTCTTTTTTGGAAGTTTCTTTTTTGGAAGTTTCTTTTATTGTGAACCAAATACATGTACATGTATTATAAATTACATTAGTCACCGGGGAAAGTTATGGCGGTGTAATTTTAGATAAATTTACTACAATACCAATACTAATGTAAATAATAATCGTGCTAAATTTCTAGCAAACAATAACGATAACAATTAAAAAAAATAAAAAGTGATGAATTTGCGAAAAACTAATAGGAGCTCATCACGGTAAATCATCCCCCCCCCCCCGATTGCAGGTTTCAAAACTTATTTCTTGATAATCAGTGATCAGATGTTTGTAATTTGGTCTTAGCATATTCGCTTCAATAAGACGAGCATCTTGGTAGTAATTTCATTTTAATCAGAATAATATTTATCGAATTATTGCGAATTTTAGTTTTTTTTTTTAGTTAAAACCGTTCAAGTTACAAAGTTTTTAGAACATTAAATTATATTCGAATTTGCATTAACACGGAAAGCGGATGCATTAAATGCTGATATTTTAGGGGCATAATGTACTCAGAGGCACTTTCAAAATAAATTTTTTTAATTTTATTATACAATTAAATGAAAAATAATAAAAAAACTGGCCGCCATTACTTTCGCCGGGGACTGTATTTGTGATCCTATCTTGGTGTAGATTATACATGTATTTTTAGTGATGATAGTTTTAATCGATAATAGCATTCTCATTGTATGTTACCACAAATACGAAAAAACACACTTTGTGTGTGAGAGAGGAAATAGTGAGCCATAATTTATTGAATATTCTTTCCTCAAATTCAAAGCCCCCAATGAATTGAATTTTCTAGCGTTTATTTTTCAACTTGGAAGTCTTTTTACCATTCAACAACAATTCTCTGTTTTAATTTTTGGGAGTTTGCCATCAAGAAACACAAAATAGGGCTTTTGTTTTCCCTTTCACTCTTTTTTCTCTTTTCTTTGTTACAGCGATCGCTGTGGTCACGACGATTTCACTATTCTGAGTGTTACGTTGCCAGCAAATGAATGACAGTGTATCTGCTGCAGAAGAAACATACAAACCTGTTCTTACAATTATGTCATTGTTAATTTGACTTCAACAATATTTATGGACATTTTTGTTTGGATAATACTTTAAGGGATATACGTACGTACATTTCCATCCCTTATTATAAATAAAAATAAAAATAAAAAAATTAATTGAATGTTACTATGCGTGTATGCATGTATGTACACACCCCTACAGTATATTACCGGAAATTTCAAAAATGAATGTGGCACTTTGGTACATGATATCTCGACATCCAGTGATCCCATCTGAACAAAAATATCACCTTTAGATTCGTATAGTCGAGGCGAATCTAATGG